GCACATCACAACAACAACATATGTGAACAGTTCAGGACACTTCCTAATTTTACTTGTGATTATATTGACATTTATTTAGTTATCAAATGGGGATTTTCCAGAAATCGAGTTAACTGATTTTTAATATAATTGCCTTTTGATTATAATGTGAATTTTTTTTGTAAGCAAACCAGTATAAAATAAAAATGTATTTTCTAAAAAAGAAAAAGAAATAATTTAATAACTTGCCCAAAAGCCCCACATTGTGCTTTGTAAACTTTCACAGTCACAGTTGTTTTAAATCACAATTAAAAAAAGCAGCAGCAGCTCCTTGAGGAAGTAGCCCAAACACCCGTGTCTCCATCCTGCCGTGCCTTTCCCTTTCCTAATCTGTATTCATGGCCTCACGGGGAGTTTCTTAAAATCAGTTGACTGAGGAAGAGAAACTCATGGATGGTGTTTCCAACTATGCCGCTGTCACTCAGAAATGGACAGTGGCAGCACTGTGACCCCTTTCTGAGATTTCTCAGAAGGACGGGTAAAACAAAATCATCCCAGTGGGCATAACGTCAAGAAGTACAGTTGTTTGCTTTGCTTCGTAGGTGAATATGCAGATCAACTGCATCTCATTCATGGGTTGTGACCAAGGGTTTGGCTGGATGGTCAGAGTATATAGTATTTTTTAAATTATTCGGATGAATGCTTTTTAAACAAGAAATTTGTTTTCTGCCTCAAGGTATGTTAAATATTCCATAAGCAATTAATTACACATATATTCTGCTTTTGTTGGTTGGAATTCTTATGTCAGTTACCTTTAGTTAGTTGATAGTGTTTTTGATGTCCTCTTCTATGCCATTCCTATTTCCTTTGATCAGATTTCTGGAAGAGTCTTGAAGTCAACTACAGCTATGATTTGTCTATTTCTGTTCTGTCTTACCATTTTTTTCCCCCATATGTTTTGTCCTTTAGGAATATTGTTATGACGTTTTCACAGAGTCAAGAGTTTTTAATTTATAATAATGTTTGTCATTATTAAAATGATCCCCTTTAGGATCGTTTCTCTGTGGTATTCTTTTCTCTGAAGTCAACTTTGGTATTAATATGGCCATTTCCATTTTCTAAATGAGCAACGGTGTCTCTCTGGAGGCTAAGGTGCGCCTGATACAGGCCATGGTCTTTGCAATCGCTTATTATGCATCAGAGAGTTGGACAATGACTAGGGAGGACAGAAGGAGAGTGGATGCTTTTGAGCTGT